CTCAGCCGCTCTATGCTGGACTTTGGCATCACTTTCCTGGAGTATCTGCTGATTTCATCACACAGAAATAGACTGAAGTTCTTCATATTGTCGTGGGTTCAAATCTGAATTTTACTTGGAGATCTTTCCTGTGACTTTTTAGCCATGCCGGCTATCACTGCTCATTATCATTTTTATTTACAAAAAGTATTTCTCTATATAAAAATCTAAACTTATCTGTCCTTTAAATGTTTGTTGAAAATATTTGTTTTGATGTATTTGTGTTTTGTTTTTTCTCTTCCACTTCATGGGCCTTGTTCTCCTCACTTTGAACATTTGTTGTTGTTGTTTTTTAAATCTATAATTACATTTACATTTTTCTGTTTAGCAAGACAAGTATTTTGTTATTTTCACAATATGCTATCAGAAGTGTTAAAACATTGTAATTATCATGATTATAATCAATGAGCAGATAATTCGTTAAATGTTGTCAAATGTTGGAACAATTCTTCTTATAAATAAAACTTTGAACACTCTTTTTTTCTCACCCACTCTCACTCAAATCTGACAAAAAAAATGTTAAGCTAACCTGAGAAAATAACTGAAGTTTTCTTTCTCCTCCTTTAGGTTTTCTCCTGAAACACCACAGGTTCAGAGCTCAATGTTAGAGCAGATTCAACTTTCTTCACTAAAACATCTTTACATTACAAAGAAATTAGTTTTGTTTTACTATCTAATTAAAGACATTTTTGATGCATTAAACAATCACCAGTAAAGTTGCTCCACAGTTTCCAACTCTGAAGTGATCTGTGATATTCGTAAACTCAGAACTCTTCTCTCCCGTCTTTCCATGGTCCTGAATGCAGCATCAGTGTTACGGGTTGTGACTCCTGTAAACAAACTGACACAGTGTGATATTACACATATTTAAAACTGTCTTTACTGATGATGTTGAAGCTGCTGAAGGCTCAGTATAATTTTGTCTTCCTGAAGGTTAACAAGTGAACTCTGTAACTGATGCACAACACAAGAGAGTGCCTTGTAAAGGAAGCCAAAGTACTTCAGCTCAATTTGTCCACCTGTTTATGTCACAGTCTGGCAAAGGCAGACTGTATGCAGTGAAGAAGAGAAGCCAAATGCAGACAAACAAAACTTATTATTAACTGAAACAAGCTGTTTATTAAAGGCTGATCTTAGAATACAAAACAATGGGCACAGGCAAAACTATCGTGGCCTAAACTGGGTGAGCTAAACATAACAAAAGCCTGGAACATGGACATGGACTTGGACATAGACAAAGAAACCTGGCATGAATTCATAATCCTGGAGACATGGCATGGAAACAACACAGGAAAAATGAGTGAAAACACACAGACTAACTATAATACTATAATAACAACCTAGGTATGATGAATGAACTTAGAAAACCTAAAAACTTAAACATAAACCTAAGGACTTAAACATAGAAATAAACTAAAACTCAAAATGCTGGGTCAAAATGGCCCAGGATCATGACAGTTTTACATTCTGCCATGTTTTTAGGCTGAATAAACCCTTAATCAAAAAGTGCATTGTGTCATAGATCATGGTAAACTGGATCAAAGCATCATTAGTTTGGAGCTCTATCATCTAACACTGTTGAAATATTTATTTCAGCTTCAGCACACAGTGTTAAAAACAGAACAGGACTATTGATGAGAACAAACAGTAGGAACTGAGTATCAGCAAACACTATGGTTTAACATTAACAGTAAAAATCTCGTCAAATGGTACCTTAATTTTGTCAGAAGCATTCAAAATTACCTCTAGACATGCGTACAATTATCTGATATTACAATTAAATATAGGCAACTAAAGGTTTCAAACGATTGTAGTTGGTGCAGTATATTTAAAGAGGAATATTTGTCTCAGAGATGTAGTAGAATTAAAGGCATAAATGAAATGAAAATGAATAAATATTTTTTATTTTAATTCCACTTTTTGATATATTTTTTATTTTCAATGTGAAACATGCAAGTCACACTAGCTGTAGTTCTTGTTAACGTTCATTTTGGCTACAAGGACCGAGCTTAATGACCTTGTACCTGTCAGTGAACGTCTCTCGGTTTCTGTGGCGGTTGCTAGGCAACAGGAGCAACGCGACGTAAGCGAGGCCGTCCCATTTAAAGCCGCTCGGTTCGGCCTTCACGGCCTACGAAGGATGCAGCTGCTGAAGTGGGGCACTGCTTCGTGCTGCTCACAGGCTCTGATGGATGCTAGCTTCATGTGTGATGGACTGTTAGCTGGAAGAGTTTAGTTTGGTGCTACGACTGAGAAACGTTTCAGGGTTTGAAGCAATAGTGGAGAGACTGGCTGACTGCTGCAGAAGAAATCTGCTCCGAGGTTAACAGAACGTCTGATCGTTCAGTATGAGATCCACCTTCAGCAGAGACTGCTGGATATCAGCCGGAAACACGAGATAAAGTTACGCATAACAGGTAAAACTGCGATGGTCTCAGTGGACTAACACAAGAATACAACTCATGTAGGACCTGATCAGAGCTCAGCTTGTAGGCTAACATGCTGAAATCAGGGAGCGGCTAATCACACAAGTGCGTCTCTTTTTTTACGGTAAACTTTTAGCATTAAACAAACCTTGAGACCGAGAGAAAGTGCCTTTATAGAAGATTTATTTAGAAGATTAAGATAAAGGAGGCAGGGAGGGAAAGCTTCTGTTTTCTGCACAGTTCGCTGTCTGCTTCGGCTCTCTGTCCCTCACTCCGGGGCTACAGACAGTCCTCTGCCGCCTGTGGTGCTCCTCACCTCCGTCTGCACCCACAGGCTTCCCGAGGTGGAGGCAGGCCGGTGTTGTGCCAAAAACTGATTTCCAGTGTTTCTGTGTATTTTTTCTGTGTAATATCTTTACGTATGTTCGTAAATAGACTTCGGTGAACAGGGTTTACAAAGGGGTTACATAAAGAATTAAAAAATTATCTGTTTTTTAAGTATCTTTACAACTTGTACTTACATTATAACCAATCCGGTCCTTTATCCCCACTTAAAATATTTTTACTGAACTATTGTAATATTTGCTGCCATTTCTGCTGTCCTGTTGGGCAACTTACTCTTACAAAATACATTTCTAATGTTAATGAGATTTATTTTACTGCATAAATAAAGGTTATATAAAAGTCACTGCCAAAAACTGCTTGCGGCTTCTATCTTGTTACACGAATGTTGTTTGTGGCTCAAAATGACTTTATGTCATCCATAAGGGATGCATTTGACATATGTTTAACATATTATAGCCCAACAACTTACTTATAGCACTTTGAACATGAGCAATCACTTTTTGGCAAATACCGGCAGGGACTTTGAGAGATGGGCTTTACTTTAAAAAATACCCCTTAATCAGGGTCTAACTCCCTACAAGACCATCGTGACTCCCCCACCATCCTCACCTCATTTTAAAAATATATATTTTTCAACTGAATTATATTTGGGTTCAAGAAAATTATGAAGTTTTTAAAATAACTTTGTAATGTTCTAATAAAAAGTCTTAACTCGAACTAAATCTAGCTCAAATCTCACAGATGTCAGTGTTATTCACAAAGCATGGAAACATAGTTGTTAGTTTTAAACGCAGCCACAGCAGGCAAACTATGGCTGCATGCTCCAAAGAACAGGAGCACAGTAACTGAACACACTGTTAGCACACTTACATCTGATTTTGGGAACAGTTAAAAGATCTGAACCTGATGACCTGATGAGGTTTAACTGGGTCAAAGGTCGAGAGCTAATTGAGAACTGTCCGGTTAAACCAACTAAATCATGAAACCTTTGATTTAAAATGTCTTGATCAACAGTATCAAAGGCAGCAATGAGATCAAATAGAACTAAGATTGAAACTCAAATCACTGATGACTTTAGTTGGGTTGTTTCTGTGCAATGACTGG